GGCCAGAGGGCGCAAGTGCCTCCGGGTCGCTTGCACACGGGCAGCTCGAGGGATCCCTCGGCAAGACTTGGGGAGTGACAAATCCTCGCTCGCAAGGCCTCGCTCGCTCGCGCGTTCGCCGTCGTTTGCTTGCTTCTTGCTCCTTTTCTCCCTTGCCGTCACCGCGCAGCACAGAGTACCAGGAAACCGGCGCTGCTGGGGCCCTGTCGAACAGGCTATGTTGAGCCAGCCAGTGCGACTGTCGTCTGTCACAGAGCGGGCGATGCGTTCTGATGATGTGCGGCGGCTGCAGCAAGTTGCGCGTCCTGCGCTACAGCAACGCACCCTGCGTGCTCTCGGGATAAGATGGATCGTGGGCCATTGCCCTCTAGCGAAACCCATTCCGGGCACAACTGGAAGCGCTACTGCCAGAGCCGTTTGCTGCCGTTTCTGCTGTCCTTTGTCGTCTGAGGCTGCTTGCTGTCGCCTGGTGCTTCTTGATGCTGCTTGATGTTGCCTGCTGCTGCTTTCTGCCACTTGGGCCCTTCTTCGCTCCTTTTAGGGCCTCTCTGAGGGCCTCTCGGGCGCTTTACCCAGCCTCTTGGGATCTGTCGGGCAGTCTTGAGGCCTTCTGCACCGTTTTGAGGCCCTGTTAGAATGGTAAGGATCTCTCTTGGGACCCTCTCGGGCCGCCCTGGGGGCCTCTCGGGGGCGGTTTCGGTTCCTTTGGAGGCTGTCTTGGGACATCTTGGCGCCGTCTTGGGCAGTCTTGAGGCTCTCTTGGGGTCGCTTCGTACCCTCTTCGGCAATCCTGATGGCCTACTGGAGCTCTGCAGCCGCCCAACGCCTCCCATTGCCACCAAGAAAGCCCCAAGAGGTCCTCTGGGCTTCCTAAAGCCACCAGAGGCCCCAGAGGGCACTCAGAGGCTTCCGATGAAGCCAACTGTGCCCCCAAGAGGACTCCGAGACAGCCCCACTGCCTGTGCGCCTCCGAGATGGCCCCAAGCAACTTCCAGTATGACCGACTCGGGCCTAACATGCCTCCCAGGTGGTACAGGCCTGCCCCAAGGGAACCTCTGAGAGGCCAGACGCATGACACAATCATTTGGATGTTAACTGATTCTATCCCTCTCGCCTTGTCTGCTTCTGATGGGCCTCGGGGGCCTTCATACGGCCTTGCGATGGCCGAGTGCTGCCTCCAGCAGACGGGACAGGCCCCAAGCTGTCGCCAATATCCACTGAACGTGCGAACGAGCATGCAGTTGAGACTGATTTTGGAAGGGCGCGGCGGGAATGCGCCGCAGGCTTCGTAAGCAATTCGTGGAAATTGCAAGGCCGACAAAGATCGAGCTAGCGTGGTATGTGGCAGAGCTCTCCTAGGGAGGGCCTGCAATTCACCGTCCAGGCTCCGAGCGGCGACGGCGAGCGGGGCGGCACGTCGCGGCTGGCGCCGCCGCGTGCAGTCTCTCCCCAACTGCTGCTGCTGCTGCTGCTGCTGCTGCTGCTGCTGCTGCTGCTGCTGCTGGCGCAAGGCTCTCGCAAGGAGAGCCTGCAAATCGCTCCGAACGGCAACGGCGAGAAGGGCGGCACGGGGGCCGCCCAGGAGCTGCCAGAGGCAGCGCCTGTACGTTATAAGACTAGATAGACTGGCCAGGGGGATTGGCACTGTACCACTTCGGAGCGTGGCGTGGGGACGTGGGACGATCAGAAGAGCTCACGTCCACGCACCTCTCTGGGATGGCGCGCCCACGTCGCCTTTCCTCGGAGAGCCCTCTGGGTAACGTGCGCCGAAGCTCCCGCCTCCGCGCGCCGCAAGCCCCAATCGACGGCTCAAAAGTGCACAGCCCGTGCCACACACTGCGCTCGCAGTGTTCGCCGGAGGTGCGCCAGCGGCGCCGACCGCCGCCGCTGCGTGCGCGGCACCAGCGTGCTGCCTCGCCAGCAGCCGCGAGATCAGCTGCGTCGCCTGCGCCTGCTCCCGCTGGCGCCGCCGCTCCCGACGCTCCAGGGCGGCCTCCAAGGCGGCCCCCCTACCGCGGGCTGCTCTGCGCCTGGTGCTGGGCCGGCCCCACATGGAGGCCAGGGCGCTCTGCACCCTGCCCGCGTGGGCGCGCGCCGCCAGTTCGGAGCCGCTGGGGCGCGGCGCCAACGCCAGGCGGAGTCTCGCCCAGTCTCGCAGCGCGCCAGCCACGTCCTCGCGCAGCGGCGTGTAGAGGCGAAGGCCGCGGGCCAGAGCCACCCGCGAGCGCAGTCGCAGCTGCACGGCGGCGGCCCGCCGCAGCTCCGCGGTGGCTCTCGCGAGCCGCGCGGCGAACCGGCCGGCCGACTCCCGCGCGGGCTCGCGCCAGTGCTGGGGCAGGTCCGCGGAGCCCGTGCGTGCGCCCTGGCAGCGGGACCTGAGCCAGAGCAGGCGGCCGAGCAGCCTGACGGCGGACGGCAGGTCGGGGCATCGGGTGGACTGTACGTGGAGGCTGTGGCCCAGGTGGACGCTCGCCATGTGGCCGCCGTCGGCCGTTCCCCAGATGCAGCTGCCCAAGCGCCGCGTGCGCCCCTTGGCCCCGGGCTCCAACTGGGCGAGGCGCCTCCGCCTCAGCATTCACACCTTCAGCTCGGAGTCTCGGAGAATAAGAGGAAGGAGAAGGAGGAGGAGGAGGAGGAGGAGGAGGAGGAGGAGGAGGAGGAGGAGGAGGAGGAGGAGGAAGGGGCAGGGGGAAAGGAAACGCCTCCAGCTCTCCCCGCTGCTGCTTAGTGAGCTGCCCGGCGATCACGGCGCGGCGCCCCTCTGGGTCCAAGCGGCGCAGCAGCTCGTGCAACCGGTGCAAGAACATCGCTGGGCGCCGGGGCTCTGCCAACCTCCGGCACCGCGACGCGGGTGTGCTTCTCGGGCGCGGGCTGGCGACAGCAGGCGTGGGCGCCTCCGAGCCCGCGGGCGTGTGGCTGGCCGTCGAGGTCGTGCCTGCCGCGGCGCGCGGGCTGGCGACAAACGCGAGGCAGCGCGGCTCGCCGCCGCGCGGGCTGGCTGGGGCCTCAGCGGCACCAGCCTCGGCCAGGCGGGCCTCAAAGGCCGCCACGAGGGCGCCGAGCCGAGCCCCGCGGCCGCTGCTGGACAAGCAAGCCTCGACCGCCTCTCGCTCGAACTCCGCGAGCGCGCTGGGACTGGCGCTGCCGCTCGCAGGCCGCCCAGGACAGGCGACGCCGGTAACACTCGTGGAAGGCTGCGGCTGCCGCGAGCGCAACGCGGCGGTTATGAGCTGCCTTTTGGCTTTCGGCTCGTGGCCCTGTGGGCTCGAGTTCGGCGCTCGCCGTTTGCAAGCCCGCCGCCCATGCCCACACTCCGAGGCGCCATCGCAAAGGAAGCCACGTCGGGGGCTGCCCGAATGCTCTGTGGCGCCCGTCTTGACAGCCATTCGCCTGCTGACGCCGCCTCGGCACCGCAGGCTGCAAAACAATGTCGCAGGTTTGTCTTGTCTTGCACAACGGCTCATACTCCCCACGCTTGCCTTCCCACGTCGGACCTGCTCAAGCCTTTGTGACATGGGAAGGCCTAGTGACGGCCGCGACGGTCGCGACGGTTGCGACGACGCTCACGGCGGCGCTGGCGATGGCGATCGCAACGAGGAGTGCAGCAACCGAGCAGGGTAGACTGCGCGTCAGTATCCGTCAGTGAGAACATCTCCATGATGCAGGGCACGGCCATGTCGAGAGGAGTGGTGCGCGAGCGAGCGCACAGCTGGGTTGCAAGGGGCCAACTGGAGCTGACGATCGCTAACTGGTGAGCGACAAACTGAACAGCCGATGACTTTTGGACCTCCTCGAGCGTCCTCTTCTTTGCTAATTCTTTCGGGAGCAACCACCGACGTGACCTCTCTAATGGAGAGCATTCGAGTGCGACGCGTCATTCAAGTGAGAGATCCCGTCTCCAGATAGGAGCGGAAGACACAAACTTCGAGGCTTCGGACCCTCCAATTGGGGGGGGGGCGCGACATCAGTTACCGACCGTCGTGCCCCCAGTCCGGCGGAAGCACGAGGCTGCAGACTTCAGTCTGCGACGGCGCGAGCCTAGAACCAAATTGCCTGAAGGAGGAAGTGCACACTATGCACACTTTGCGACAGACAGGATCTGCTGAACGATTCTGATGACGGGCTTTGAAGGACAAGCGAAGCAAGAAGGAATGCACTTTTGTGCAGATATGGCAAGGGTGATGAAGATGACGACCAGGAGGACGAGGAGGGAGAATTGGACCGGGGGAAGCGATGACGAGGAACATAAGCAACATCAGAAAACGGCGGCGCAATGTGTAAGCCTGACACCAAGGTGATGCACAATCGGCGCGATGACCACTTACTACCTAACTGCAGATCTATGACCAGCAGCCTGGCTTCGAGAGAATATCATGCTCCGCCATACATTTGAATCCTCATTTGCTTGAATCGCCCACTGTCGCACCGATAAGATCAGCCGCAATGTTTCTGGTCTATGTGCTTCCGTTTCAAAAGTAGCAGTAGTACATTTTTTTCAGTTTCCTGGAGCCGCCCTGGAACCTCGATCCTCGCTTGGGGCGGGCGGCATGCAAGTGCGGGGCAACGCTAAGGGCTGACTGGCTCAGGGGGGAAACGCTGAACTTGACTCGGCGTCACGTCACCAATCGATCGGCGATTCCAAGCCCCCGATCGCTCCTGGAAGGACTGGGGTACCCACGCCCCGACCAGCGAGGACTGGGCGACCGCGTGTCGATGCATCCCCCGAGTCAGTCCCCCCCCCCCTGGCTTTCGGGCCATAGCTCGGGCCTCCAGCGACCGCTCTGGACGATTCGGGCACCCCCAGCACCGCTCTCGGCGAGGCGCATCTGCGGGAAAGCAGCCCGCGGCCGCAGAGCCGCCCAGAGCCGATGACAACGTCCGAGCCAATCCCATCCTGTCGCTGCCCCTGACAGCGCGCGCTGGGGGCCAGCGGGCGGTGGCCCGCTGGCCCCCCCCCCGCCCCCCGGCGGGGATTCGCCCTCTCGTGCGGCGAGTGCGGCTGTCCTCGGCCAGCTCGAACGCAGGGGCCGTGGTGGCGTTGACGTCCGCGCCTGGCCCCGGCGACCCTCCGCGGCAGGCAGGCCTGCACGCAAGCAATCTGGATCGAATCGCAGAGGTATGCTCGCATCGGAATCGGAGCGCGTTCCACTACTCGCAAAGTAACTACTCGCAAATGGCATGGGTCCGCCGCGGCGGATCTACGATACATTACATCGAAACAGACTTTTTTTTCTCGGACGTTTGCGAGTAGGCACTTTGCGAGTAGTGGAACGCGCTCGGTGAGGATAAGGGGTCGGGCCGTTCGGGATCGCGGGTCGGGCTCGGCCCCTGCAGGCCGGAGAGAGGGAATCAGCTCGTGCCGCATCGGATCGCATCGACATCGAGGTGTGGCATCGGACCGCGAAGTGACACGCGCAGGTCCACGCGGCGATGGCGTCGGCGCCGGCTTCGGGCTCCGCGTGGACCGTTCAGCCTTGAGCGACCGCTGCCTTCAGAGGCGCAGATCGTTCCACGTCTACGGCGTATCTCGCACATTGAGAAAACTCACTCCTGGTTCCATTGCGCTTGCGTATCATGGACATGATCATACAGTCCCCGGAGAAGAAAAGACCCCCCCTCCATGGACACTCCCCGGACGCCCCCCCCGGACCCAGAACTAGGGAGAAGAAAGATGACCGGAAGAATCGAGGAGGGAGGAGGCCTCAGAGCCGCGAAGCTCACCGAATCTGGAGACCCCCGGATCGGCGGCACTGGCCGGAGGCCACTACAATATAACCCTGACAGAAATCTGGACGTGCTTCCACCACCCACCTAGACATGACAAGCTGACCAATTCAGACCGACTCCAGGCTACCGGCGGCGCTCAACGTTGAACGCCCGCGCTGGGTCGCCGCCGCGCCGGCACGGCGAGAGCCCACCGTAAACCCCCCTGCGCCTCCGCTGCAGCACCACGGCCGCGCCCGAAGGCAGCGGCAGGGTGGCAGTGGGCCCGCTGCTGCCCTCGTGGAGCCTCGGGATCACGCAGGTGTGGTGGCGCTGTCGCGGACAGGGTCCGCCTCGTGTCACGTGCTGGCCCTCCCCCCTGCCCCTCGCTTGGCTTTTCCTCCTGCTGCTCCTCCTGCTGCTGCTGCTGCTTCGCCTTCTCCACGTCGCGCTCCTGTCGCCGCCGCCGCCGTCGTGGTCCTCCTCCTTCGCTTCCTCGTCGTCGTCCCTACGCCCCTTCACACTCCTCGTGCTTGTCCTATTTCCCGCCCCCCGCTCACGGCCCCCCCCCGCGCTCCACCCCCCCCGCCCCCGCCCAAACCCTCTACTCTTCAGCCTACTCCTCTTCGCCTGGTTCCTCCTCCTCCTCCTCCTCCTCCTCCTCCTTCCCCTCTATCATGATCCAAATTCCTTGCCACTAGATGCTTTCACTACCCTTGGCGTTTTCGGCGGTCCGATCGGAGGCCCCGGGTGGCCTCCGTTCTGCCCGAGAGCATGCTACAGAGTCGACGGCTTTGTTCTCAGCGCTTTGCCGTCGGCATGCCTAACAAAGTGCCTGGCAGGAGTGGGACTCGGCGCGCATCGCGCGCGCGAGAAAACGACATGCCGCTTGCCTGATCAACGCGCACCCGGGATTCTGCCCGCGAAGACAGCAACGAGGCAAGCGCACGATCGGCACCAGCATGCAAGAGTCACATATGCGGTGAGCCCCGCGTTCGCTTCGCTCGCGTGCCCACAAGCTCACAGGAGACCGCGACCTGCTGGTGCCCTCACCATCTCAAGGGACAGAGAACAGCCAGGCCAGCGCTGGGTTCCAAGGGAGTGGCTTGAGTGCCGCTGGGCCGCCCGAGCACTGATCTGACCAATCAACCGTGGTCCCGCCGCCTCGAAGCCACAATGAACCAGGCTGTGCTCGGGCCTCTCGGGCAGATCCTCAAGGGACTCGGCTGGCCCTAACGCCGACTACAACCTTTCCTGATCCCGCCATCTATGGGGAGCTCCCCTGCGCGATGAACGCTCCGGTGGCTCTGATGGGAACTCGAGCGCCAACTCTGATAGGGGGAGCGGCGGCCCCCATGCCCCCTTCACTTGGGAATCGTGCCCCACTCTGCGCTCGCTTTCGCTTCGCAGCGTAGTTCGCGCCTCGGAACGGCCAGGCACTCTGCTGGCGGTCAGTCGCTGGGCTGTGCCGACGTTCGCTCCGATGCTGCAAGGTGGAGGGCGGGCGAGCGGGCGGGCCCCTCTGGATCGCTCGGGCTCTCTAGATGGACTTGTGCTCCCCGTGCCCACTGTGCCCCCCCCCCGGTCCACGCCTCCGCCCTTCCTCCGCCATGTGACTCCCCCTCTCCGCGCCCATCGCCCCGTTGGCCTGGAAGCCCATGCGTGCGTCGGGCGTAGGTGGACGGCGATGGTTATTCGCAGAGTGTGGCAGCAGGAGAAGGCAGAGGGTGGGGTGGGGTGGGACGCGTGGGGGGAAATGCTGATGATAATGGTGATATGGGTACGCTCAAGTATGATGATGAGGGAGAGGACGAGGACGAGGGCGAGGACGAGGAGGAGGACGAATACAATAATGATGATGCTGCTGCTGATGATGGTGATGATGCTAATAATGGTGATGTTGAAGAACAGGATGAAGCCCTGGGGCCAGTTCACCCTAGTTGTGTGTGTGTGTGTGTGTGCTCCCTCTGTCTCTCATGCACATATTGATCCGCCACCGTTCCGCGAGGCACTGAGTGGAGTGTCCGCAGGTCCTCGAGAATTCCCAACCATCAGTATTGAACGTTGCAAGTGCTCTCTACTAAGAGGCTCAGATGCCCAATCTCCGGATTTCCTGGGGTCTGCCGCCCGCCCTCCAGGGCGCCTCGCGCGAATTTTCCCGAGGCCAGGAGGCCCCAAGACGGGCCAAGGGGTTCCCAAGACGCCCCCTAGACGGTCCAAGAAGGCTCCGAGACGATCAGCGCTCCAAGACACCCAAGACGACCTCCAGACAGTCCAAAGAGGCCCCCATGACACCCTAAGAAGGCCCCAGGAGGACCCGCATGAGGGCCACAGGAATCAAAATCATGGATTTCGTCTAGGTTGTTGAAGTTGTTAGTGTTTTCGTCTTTTCGGATTCCAGCGCCCCTAGACAGCCCAAGTAACCAGCTGGCCCTCAGACGGCCTAAGAGGCCTCCAAGCCACCCTCCCAAAGACGGGGAAATGAAGGGGCCTCGGGAGCCTTTCCCTCCCAAATAGCCTCGGGTACCCCAAACATGCTTCCAAGAGCCCCCACGAAGCGCCCAAGAGGCCCTCAAGAGGGCCTCCAAGAGGCCTCCCAGTAGCTCCGAAGAGGCCCCAAGGGCTCCCTCAAGAGGCCTTCGCGAGCCCTCCGAGAGGCGCCCCAAGAGATCCCAACATGAATCCGAAAGGCCCCTGGCCAACAAGCCCAAGTGCGGTGGCGGGGTGGGCCCAATGCCACTGCCACTAGACTGGGAGGAAAGAAGGCTGTGCTCCTTCCCTAAGGAAGCTTTGCCTGGGGGCTCTCATTTGTTTCTGCAGAACCGGTAGGTGCGGCTGCCAATTTGCGGGCACTTCCCTGGGGTTCTTTGGTCCTGTTTCCTTACAAGTCGTTGTCTGGGTTCGTTAGCCTTGATTCCTTGGTCTCCTGGTCTTGATGTCTTGGTTCCTTGGTTCCTTGCTCCTGGGTCTTGGCTCCTTGGTATTTGATCCTTTGTTCATCGGTCTTGTTTCTTTGGTCTGGCTTCCTTGGTTCCTCGGTCTTGGCTCCTTGCTGCCTGGCCGCGCAATTCCAAGCAACGCCAAGCAATGACAAGCAATGCCAAGCAATGCGACGCAACGCCAAGCGATGCCAAACAATGCCAGGCAACGCCAAGAAACGCCAAGCAATGCCACGAACAACCAAACAACATGCAAAACAATCCGCCAAGCAACGCACCCATGCAATAGGACGTTTTCAACTAAGTGGGGCTGCGCCAGGATAATTGTTTTTTTGGGGGCGGGGTCACGGCGCCTCGAGGTCTCGAAAGGCCTCCTGGGGCCCGAGAAGAATCAGCTTAGTCAGTGTCGTCGTCGTCGTCGTCTTAGTCAGCGTCGTCATCGTCGTCGCCGTTGCCACCCCACCCCCGCGAACGGCCGTCGCCGTCGCCGTCGCCGTCGTCGTCGGCGTCGCCGTCGTCGTCGCCGCCGTCATCATCGTCGTCGTCGTCGTCGTCGTCGTCGTCGTTGTCAGCGTCGTCGTCGTCGTCGTCGTCGTCGTCGTCGTCGTCGTCGTCATCGTTGCCCCCCCAGCCCCGCGTGCGGCCGTCGCCGTCGCCGTTGTCGTCGACGTCGTCGTCGTCGTCGTCGTTGCCCTCCCACCCCCGCGCGCGGCCGTTCTGAAGCAACCACGCCAGGTTCTGGAGCCTCCCCGTCTCCGCGGCGCGGTGCACCGCGCGCTCGCCGGAGTCGCGCAGCGGGGCGTTGATTGCGCCTTCGCTCGCAACGGCGTCGGCGTCGGCGTCGGCGTCGTCGTCGTCGTCGTCGTCGTCGTCGGCGCTTTCGTCGTCGCCGCCGCCGTCGATCGAGGATCGAATTTTCTGGACGTTCTTCGGCATTTCTGGGCCAGGATGGAGCGCCACAGCTGGTCTTCACCTCTGGTGCTGCTGCCGCTGGCTCGGCTGCTGGCGCCAGGTCTGCTGCTGGCACGAGTGCTGCATGATCTGTGGGGGCCGCCGCTGGCTCCTGGGCCTGCTCCTTCGGCGCTCGCTGGTGCGGCCCTTCTTGGTCTCGAGGCGCTTGCGGTGTTCTTCTTGCTCTTGTTGGAGCTGTCCAGCACGCGGTCGTTGAGCTCTCCGAAGCAAACTTGGTTTTGAGAGCGCCCTTCCTCAGCTTGGCCTCCTGCCTGTGGGCGTCGGTGACCTCGTCGTCGAGCTCCTTCAGCCCGAAAAGCCCACCGAAGTCCAGCTCGAGGTCACGCCCTTCGAGGACGGCGCCCAAGTCCAGCGGGGTGGCCTGCTTGGGACTCGGCCGAGCCATCAGGATCCATTTTCACCACGGCACTGTGGAGCTTCCTGGCGGCGGCCTGGCAGGTGGCCCTCGCAAGGTCGACTGCCTCCAAGCACCGATCGACGTAATGCTCTGCGCCTCCACGTGCTGGGACTCGAGGCGCTCGCAGCACTCTACTGCCCTGCGGGGGGCGACCTCCTAGCTCAATTCGCCGTAATGTTCGCTTTGTGCTGCTGCCGTCTGGGCTCTTCGGGCTTGGCTTGGTACTTGACTGCTCCTGAGGATGCCCAGAATGGAACACAGGCCAGCGCGCCGACCTGTGCTCCTTTCCTCTCCCCTGTCGCCTTGTCGTTCGTTCTCCCCTCCGCGCTCGTGTAATCGTCGTCGTCCTCCAAATTGGGGGGCTGGCGCGAGGGTATCTATGAGCAGACGCCCGGCGGCTGCACAGCGTTCTCTTGGTTGTGCTCGATGGGGTGGAAGCCATGGCGCCTCCCGCGCCCCCCAGACCTCAGAGGTGCACTGACAGCCTGTCATGTCAGCTGGGAGATCCGGCCCGCGGGCGGCTGGAGCTCATCTCGAGGCTCTCTTGGGCGATCTTGCGTGGAGAGGGGCTCGACGAGAGCAGCCAGCCCTTGATCCTCGCTCTGTGGCTGGTGGGTTTGCAGCACGGCCAGCGATTGTTTCTCTGACATCTCGCGCCCACCTGGGCAGCATCGGTCCTCGAATGTGACGCTGGGGGCACGAGACGATTGGCAGCTTTTTCCTTCATATTCCAAGGCCGTCACTTAGCATCAGGCCCAGGAGAACGACCACGCAGGCTTGTCCTGGTGTGCCGCGCTGGAGTCGTGAGGGCCCTCGGCAGTGCCTGCACCACTTTCACAACGCGAGGTTCTTGGCGCCGTCCGATTCTGCACAGCTGCATGTCCATGGCTGGCCATCAACTCCTGAGCGAAAACTGCTGTGCAGTCGCACGTTGAGAGAAGCTGGCTCCCCACCTCCTGGCGGCGGTCGGCGGGCCGAAGGGTGAAAGCTTGGCGCTCTGTGGCCGATCCCTCACTTGACCCTTGCCTGGAGGTGTGGTTCGGAGACCAACATCTTGCAGTACCTTTGACCGAAATGGCTACGAGAAGAGAGAGAGAGAGAGAGAGAAAGAGGCCAGGCGCTGACAGGAGAGGGTCTGGGCCCAAAACGCTCCCCACAAGGCCTTGCTGATCCGCCCCCCCCCCCCGTGTCCTCCCTGGAAGGCCTCCCGCGAGCTTTCGCAGGGTCCCCGCCGAGCATCTGGAGGCCTCCAGGAGGCGCAGCAGGAAGAGCCCCGAACACTGAAGCCCCGGCGGCCCCAGCTGGCCCCCAGCGAGGACCAAGGTCGAACGCCCGAGACTCCGGGAGGGCCCGGGGGGACCAGGAATGCCCCGGGGGGGCCAGGAGCCGGGGGCCAGGGGCACCTCGTGGGCAGTTCAAGGCAGAGGGGGGGGGGTGCAAGAGTCAGCCAGGCAGGCCTCCGGGAGCAGCAGCGAGAGGAGGCACAGTCCATAGATCGGCTGATGGCCTGCCCTTTGGAGCTGCTCTGGCACCACTAAACGGGCCTGCCTGGTTGTTCCTGGCCCAAACGGTGGCCAAGGGATCACGGCCATCATACATGTGTCTTGTACACATATAGTACGTGTATGCTCGCATGGCTATGTACACATGTATGCTCGCGTGCATGTATATGTTCCCCAATCAGAGCTTGCCTCTGTAGGGGTCCTAACGGATTCATATGGTTAGCTTAGGTTTGCCGCCGATTTTCGCCGCACGCCCGGGTGCCCGAGTGCCTGGGGGTGCCCGGGTGCCCGGATGCCCGGGTGCCCAGGTGCACGGGCGTGCCCAGGGGTGCCCGGGGGTGTCCTATGGCCCTATAGCCCAATATCCCTATAGCCCTAGAGCTCTATAGCCCTATAGCCCTATAGCTCAATAGCCCTATTGCCCCCTAGCCCTATAGCCCTGATTGGGTTTTTCTCCGGTATCATATGTTTAGATATGTAGATAAATGTATGTATGTTCACATATATATCTATATACGTGTGTGTATATTTTACATATATATATATATATATATATGGATGCGAAACTGTGTGTGTCTGTCTGTTGGCATGCATATACATCTATATGTATGTATGCATGTGTGTATGTATACATGTATGCACGTATGTATGTATGTATGTATGTATGCATGTATGTATGTATGTATACATATATATATGTATGTATATATGTATGCATGAATGTACGTATGTTGTATGGGTGTGTGTTCGCATGCATATCAACATGTATGCACATACACACATATGCATGCATACGTACGTATGCAGGTATGTATGTATGCATACAAACATGTATGCATGTATCCATGTGCGCATACATGTCTGCATACATGCATGCACTCATGTATGTATGTGTGCATGACTGTATGTATGCATGCACGTATGAATGTATGTATACACGCACGCACGTATGTATGCATGCATACATGTATGCATGCATGCACACACATATATACACATATATAAATATATATATATATATATATATATATATGTATTTATATATATATATATACACCTGCATGCACATATGTATGTCACGTATGTATATATGCATGTGATTGTATGTATGCATGCATGCATGTGCGTAGGTTATACGTTGTATGTGCGTGTGAATGTATGTATGTATGTATGTCTGTATGCATGTGTGTATGTAGGTGTATAGGTAGGTCAGTAGGTCGTTAGGTATGCCTGCATGTATGTATGCCGGCATACATACATCGATTTATGTATGCATACATGTGTATGTATAACATGGAAGTAAGTACATGTGCATGCATGTGTGTATGCGTACAGACATGTATATATATAGATATATGTATGTGTGCATATACACGTACTAAACCATCGCGCGCGCTTTGCGCGCGCTCATGTTCTAGCTAGGCTCGACAAGCTAACGCATTGAATCTCAATTGTTGAAGTGCCTTGTGCATCTAACGACCTTCTTGGAGTTCCTGCGGAAGCCTCGGAATCGTATAGACGGGAAAATGCGGAAACGCAACATCAAATATTTCCTCTAGGTATTCGATGGTTTGGGGCCCTCGAAAGATTCCTGGGATCTTTCTTCGGTGGTGACGGGGGCCTTAATTATGGTCTGTTGTGCAAAAATAAACAAGAGGTAAATTTGAAAAAAGGGAATTCTTGGAATTCCCTTCTTTCCAATTGACATGCCTGGGCCGTGGGTCAGAAATTTCTTGGATACAGGCCGTGGACTGTTGGGACGCCTCTGGGGACCTTTTGGCAGCGTCTTTTGAGTCCTTTTGGGCCTCTTGGGAAGCTCTTGGTGCCTCCCAGGAGTCTCCCAGGAGTCTCTGAAGGCATCTGGGGGGCGCCTCGCCTTTGCGAGAACCTTGGAGCCATCTTGAGGCAAAGCGCGAACCTTTCCCGCGAGTCTTCCGGGAGTCTCCGCAGACATCTGAGGGGCGCCTCGAGAACCTTTGGGAGAACCTTGGGGCCACGTGTCTTTCTTGGCGCGTGCACTGACGTTCTAGCTAGGCTGGACAGGTGAACTCATGGCAGCTTGATTTTTACGGTGGTTTCAGGGGCCGCCAAGAGGACACGAAGACGACCTAAGAGAGTGCCAAGACAGCGTCAGAGAGTTCAACAGTATTCCCGAAACATCTTTACAATGTGACCCCGAAGTCTTGATAGGGCTCGGGATGAACTTGAACAAAAAGAGAACCGCTGGATTTCCTTTTTTTCAAGTGGGTCCCATGTAGTCCGCAGGAACCGGGGGGGGGGGCCTGAGAGGCGTGCAGGGCGCTCTTGGGATGCAGTTTGGAGGCCGCTGGGGGGCTGTTTGGGGGCCTCTTGAGGCCACTTTTGGGCCTCTTCGGGGCTCTTGGGGGCCTCTTCAGGCTCTTTCGAAAACTTTTTGGGCCCCCTGGGGGCCTCTTGGAGCGGAAAGCCGGGATGTCGATTTGCGTTCTCCCTGTTTGGCGGCTTTTCGGGCCATCTAGGGGCTCTCTTGGGCGGCCTCGGGGCGCTCTTGGGCAATCTTGGGGCCTTCTTGGGCCGTCTTTCAGCCGTTTTTGGGGGCTGTCAGGGGCGGTCTTGGGTTTTGGGGGCCTTTTCGGCCGTCTTGGAGCTTTGGCAGAAGGCTGAAAACCTCTAAACAAACCAATGGAAATCAACGATTTTGGCCTCTTCTGGCGCTCCCCGGGACGCCTCTCGGAGCTCTCTTGGGGCCTCTTGGAGGCCTCCTGGGAGCCTGAAGATCAGTCGGAACTCTGTCTTGGGCTGCTAGGGAGCGTCTTGGGCCGTCCTTTCGCGTTCTGGGGACTCCTTGGGGGCGTCTTGGGCCGTTTTGGGGCCTCCCTGGGAGGCCTGGGGGCGCGGTACCGGGAGTTGCCCCGAGATGTTCCGGAAGTGGGGAACGCTCCGGAGGGCGGGGGGCGTATGTTTATATATTATATCATATATATACATATGAGACAGAGAGAGAGAGAGAGAGAGAGAGAGAGAAAGAGAAAAACAAAAGAGAGACAGAGAGCCACTGCAAGCAAACCCGTCCCGACACGTTACGGGGGGTGAAACGCCCCGTTGCCTCTGCACTCCATCCGGAAAGCGCTTGTGTCCCATCTCCGCCGTGCCAACGCGCCCGACTCGGGCGCATCCGAGCCGGTCTGGCGGCACGGCCCTCTGGCCCGCCCGAGCGCAGAATATCACGCCGTGTCCTGCAGAACCGCACATCGCCGCTCGACCGCGCGACGGAGAACGGCCAGCCTGGAAAGAGAGAGAGAGAGAGAAAGAAAGCAATCCACACACACATATATACATATATATATACATATATAGAGAGAGAGAGAGAGAGAGAGAGAGGGACACATATATATATGTATATATATATATATGGATCCAGAGAGAGAGAGAGAGAGAGAGACAGAGAGAGAGAGAGAGATAGAGAAAGAGAGAGAGATAGAGAGAGAGAGAGAGAGAGAGAAAAAGAGACAAAACGAGAAAGAGAAAGCGAGAGAGGGATAGAGAGAGAGAGAAGAAAAGAAGGCCTCCCGAAGTTCCCAAAGGTCTCCAGAAGTCCCTGGAGGCTCCAGGAGGTCGCCCCCCAGAGCTCAGAAGGCCGCTGGAGGCTCAAGAGAGGCCCCAAACTGCCTCAACGGCCTCGGCGTTCGAACCCCGATGGGGAGAGGTGAGTGGCATGGGACTCCCGTGGACCACTCTCTTGGGCAAATGTCAAGAAGGAAGCTCCCCTCCCCCAGATTTGGGAAATGTGGCTCCAATTTCATTTCGCCTCCGCATTCCTCCCTCCTCATCGTCCTGTTTTTTCACTTGCTCCTCCACGGCGGTTTCCTCCTCGTCCTACTCCTCCTTTTTCCCTTGCTTCTATTCTGGGAGGTTCCACATCTATTCCTCGCGTGGAGGGTTTGTAAACATATTCCCTTTGTGGATAACTTACAAGTGGATTCCTTCTGGAAACGGTGGAAACAAAATAAGTCGAAAGCATAACCCACACAACAAAACCAACGGCTGACTGCAGAACATCTTGAAACATTTAAGGACGAACCCCACAACATTACAAACAAATCCGCCGGCCCCCTTGCAAATCCGCCGGCCCCCTTGCGGGGCCATCAGGCTGCGAGGATTCGGCTTGCTGCTCCCTGCGCCAGTTCCAGTTTCCAATGTTACAATGCTGCTTTCTGCTTCTTACTGTAAACTGTTACTGTCCGCGCGAGGGGGGGAGCCGAAAACCATCTTTTTCAGCACCCCCGAATCGCGTGCTCTGAATTTCTGGGGGGCACTGGGACACGCAACAATACATGAGATTCGCGCTCCCGACGCAATGATCCCTTGTAATTTCACTGTATTCGCGCCCCCGAAGCCAAGACCCCTTGTACATTACGCTGTATTCGCGTCCCCGAAGCCACGATCCCTCGTAACATAAACAATCTTCACGCTCCTGAGGCCACGATCCCCAGTAAATTGCGTCACGTTCTCGCCTCCGGGGCCACGATCCCTCGTAAAGTATGCTGCAATCGCGCCCCCGAGGCTACAATCCCTTGTAAATTACGCCACATTCGCGCCCCCGAGGTCACGATCTCTCGTAAATTACACTGCCGTCGAGCTCCCGGGGCCACGATCCCGCGTAAATAAAGCTACGTTCGCGCTCCCGAGGCCCCGAGTAGCCCCCAGGAGGCCTCAAGAGGCCGTCAAGAGGCTCCAAGAGGCCCCAAAAGGCGCCCAAGACGCGCCCAAGAGGCGCCCCGCAACCACCTCGACGACCGCAAACAATTCTCCAAGACGGCTCAAGATGGCCTCTAAGATGGTCACGTTGGCCCGAACTGGCCTCCAAGATGGCCCAAGATGGCGTCCAAGTCGCCCAAGATGGTCCAAGATGGCTTCCAAGACGGCCCGAGAGAGTCCAAGATGCCGTCAAGTTCGTCCAAGAAGCCTCCAAGACGGCCCAAGATGGCTCCAAGATGGCCTAAGACTGCCCAAGAGGGCCCCAAGAGGCCTCCAAGAGCTCCACCAAGAAGGCCCGAAGAGGCCCAAATCATTGATTCTCCTTCGGTTTTGAAGGATTTTGGCATGTTCTTCTTTTCAGCGCTCCGACGGCTCAAGAGGCCCCCAACATCGCCCCAAGAACGCCGAAGAGGCCTCCAAGATGGCCCCATGACAAGACAAGAGGCCCCCGAGAGGGCCCCAATAAGACCCCAAGACGGCCTCCAAGACGGCGAAGATGGCCCCAAGATGCACCCAAGACAGCCCCAGATGGCCTGAAGATGACCTTAGACTGCCCAAAAGGCCCGCCAGAGGCTTCCAAGACGGCCCAAGACCCCTCCAAGACGTCCTCCAAGAGGCCCGAAAACTCGGAAAACACCTGGTCCGATAGCTCGCCCGACTCCGTGTTCTCCGAATGCATTCGAAATCCACTCGGGGAACGCGTGGAAACCCAACCTTCGGCCACGCAAGCCCTTCCAAAAAGGCAGGGGGCGGCGGTGATTCGCCGTAGGCGTCTTCGATTACTCCAACGTTTCAATATCGGCTGGTGACTCCTATCCGCCCCCGCATGCTGTTCCCAGATGCGCCAATGCAGTGTCGAGACGCACCGACGCGACTCTGTTATATCCCAGTATGATAGAGAGGGGGCCGGCGGCAGGGGGCGCAGCCCTTACGGATATTCCACTACTTACTCCATTGTTCCACTGCACCACTGCCCCCTCTCTGCCCGTTCCATCCTCATTCCCACCACCCCCACCCCGCCTTTCACTCCTCCTCCTCCTCCTCCTCCTCCTCCTCCCTGCCCTGCCCTGCTCCATGGAGGGGAGCAGGGAGCCCCCTCCTCCTCCTCCTCCTCCTCCTCTTCCTCCTCCTCCTCCTCCTTCGAGGAGGTGGAGGAGGAGGAGGAGGAGGCAAATAAGGCAACGATCTTCGATCCATGTCTGCGCAACGTCAAAAAGGAGGGGGGCATAAGTCATGTGGGAGCATCAGGGAGGAGGGAAGGCGAGGAGGAGGACGAGGAGGAGAAAAGGGCGAATCATGATGGTGAGTACGGTCTGGAGGACGGGGGAGGATCGGCCCGCCGAGGAGTCCGCTGAGGGGGCGCGGCCGTGGCAGCAGCAGCAGCAGCAGGACACGCCACGGCCCTTGCGACCGAGCCTCTCTACCTGCGAGGGCGCGCCCGCCTATCTGGGCGGGATGCTAAAGGTTTAATGGGGCCACCCGAAGGCCAAGACTTGGGCCGCAACGTTCGGGGTTTGGCAGGTAGACAGCATATGCAACACATCCCTTGCGTTGTACCAAGCCAGACCCCCTGGGCAAGGGACGGGGAGCTGGTAGAGGAGGAGGAGGAGGAGGAGTGAACGGCGGGGTGGGAGTGGTGGGTATGAGGATAGAACGAGGAAAGATGGGGGCAGAAGGACAGTCGAGCAGTGGAGTAAGTAGTTTTTTGTCGTTTCGTGTTTTATGTGTTTGTTTTTTCCTGCAATCCGCCGTTTGGTTCTGTCACTTTGGTTTCTTTTCCATCGGGAATCCGATTGTAAGTTCTCCGCGAAAGGAAGATGTTTGTAAACCCTGCGTACTTGGAGCGCATTCGTAACCTGCCAGAGAAGAAGGAGGCGCAAGAAGAGGAGCAGGATGAGGAGGAAGACGAAGGGGTGGAGGAAGGGAAAGAACACGATGAGAAGGGGAGAATGAAGGAGGGAGAGGAGGATGTTGACGAATGGGGGCCATATGTAGCAATAGAGAAGAATGCGGAGGAGGGAGGAGGATGATAAGGATGAGGAGGATGAGGAGGAAGGGGATGATCAGGAGGAGGGAGAAGAGGCACAGCCGAATTGAAACAACGTTCTTCAAATCTGGCGGGTTTCCTCCGAAATTTGCCCAAGAGAGCGGCCCACGGGAGTCCCACGGCAGGTCGGTCCCCAGAGCCCGGAAGCCTCTGGAGGCTCAAGAAATCAAGAAAGGCCAAGACTGCCCCACGGGCCTCGGTGCTCGATCGCCGAGCGGGAGGGGGGGAGCTGAGCCGAGCCGGGCGGCGCGCCCCGGATCTTCTCGGTTTCGGCGAGCATGTTGCAGAAGCGGCCCCAAGCCTCGGGGCGCGGCCGACGCCACGCGCGGGCGCGTGTGCGGCTCAGCCGACGCAACGCGAGGTACGAGCGCGCAGAAAACAACAGCAGCACTGAAGTATAAACAAAGTGATAGCAATACATTGCGCGAGAGTATGAAAGATGGGAGGGTGGCCCTCCTCCTCCTCCTCCTCCTCCTCCTCCGCCTCTCCCCTGGAAGAAAACATAGCAGGGCCCCCCCCTGAAGCCTTTCAGCTACCCCCCTGGCCCCTCGAGCGTGTGGACGTCACGTCACGTCGAGGCTGCTGCGGTGCTTCTGCACTCACCGCGAGCGCTCCGGCAGGACCCACGACTGTGTGCGGCCGGGTGCCCAGGGGGCGCTTGGCCTGCGGCGCGGGCCTGAGCCCTGCCTGGGCAACAGCAGAAACCATGGAAACAGCATGCCCTGATTCCTTCCTTCTGGCCGGCAGAGAACGCAAGATGCCCGAGCGTGCGCGCGCGCGCGCAAGCAGTCGCGGGCGAGCAGCCAGCGAGCGAGCGCGTGCGCCAAGCAGGTGCGAACGCACCAGAACGCGGGCGCCCGAGCCAGTCCAGGGCGACCCTGGCGAGTCGACTCCAAGGCCTCTCTTGGCGCGTGATTTGGCCAGAACCTCGGGGGGGGGATATCCGGCCGCGGCGGCGAGGACGCTCCAGGAGGCACACACAAGAGTGGCCCCCGAAGCGTTCGAAAAAGCCTGGATCCTCGGCAGGTGCGGGCACGCCGAGCCAGCGCGTGGCGTCACACCGCACGGCAGGGCAGGGCGACCACCGCGCGCGCGCACGCGGGGAGCCCGACGGTGCGCGCGCGCCGCGCCGCGCCGCGCCTCGAGCTCCGCCTCGGCGCCGTCCTGCGCGTTCACGAAGCCGGCGTGCATGTCCGCCACTGCCTCGGCGGCGGCAGCGGCGGCGACGCCGACGGTGACGACGACAGCGGCGGCGGCTTGGCCCGCAAGCTCGGAGGCGGCCTCCTGCTGCTGCTTCGCGTGCAGGACGGCGGAAAGAGGAAAGTAACATCACGCCGAGATAGTTCGGGACTCTCTGAGAGCAGGAGGGCCCGGAGGGGATGTGTCGGGCGCCGCGGCCATTCCAGAGCGTTCTGGAATGCAGAACAGTAATTCAAGTTAGCGGCGCGCGCAAGGGGCTGGCGCGAGGGGGGGGTCTTCTAAGAAGGGGCCTCCTGAAAAATCAATATATGTATATATATACACACACACCTATACGACCACCCTTCGAGTGAGAAGGAGGTTGCGGGGGGGGGAGAGGGGGGGAACCAACATCTGACTCAATCGATCTCACTATCGATCTCACTCAACGGGACACCACGGGACACCACGGGCCACCACGGGACACTTGTCGATCTCACTATCGATCTCACTATCGATCTCACTCAACAGGACACCACGGGACACCACGGGCCACCACGGGACACAACGGGACACCTCTCGATCTCACTATCGGTCTCACTATCGATCTCACTCAGCGGGACACCACGGCCACCACGGGACACCTCGGGACACCACATCGATCTCACTATCGATCTCACGATCGATCTCACTATCGATCTCACTCAGCGGGACACCACGGGACACCACGGGACACCTCGGGGCACCACATCGATCTCAATATCGATCTCACTATCGATCTCACTCAACGGGACACCACGGGACACCACGGGACACCTGTCGATCTCACTATCGATCTCACTCAACGGGACACCACGGGACACCACGGGACACCTCGGGGCACCACACTGATCTCAGTATCGATCTCAGTATCGATCTCACGATCGATCTCACTCAACGGGACACCACGGGACACCACGGGACACTGGCGGGACACCGCGGGCCAAGCCACAGGAGGATTTCGGGACACCAGCGGGACACCGGCGGGACACCGCGGGCCACCAGCCGCCGGAGGAGATACGTTTGGTCTGGCCGCGGCCCAGCCACAGGAGGATTTCCTCCCGTCCGCCCACGCAGCTTCGCCTCGCCCGCACGCGCGCACGGCACGCACGACACAAACCCGAAACCGACATCGATTTCCCGGTAGGGGGGGTCTCCGTTTCACGTCGTAGTGACCCTCCAACCTCCGATACAATATGACCACACTCGGAATTCATCCCAACCTCCATCCCTCGTCCTCCTGGAGGAATACAAACTGGCTACAATGGGAATGCAGTCGGACTGCGTTTGAAGTCCCCCCCCTGTCTCCCCCTCCTTCTATCAAAATATTCTGGACATACAAAAGCAAAACAATCGGAAGTCCTCCCCCCTTCCCCCTCCTTCACTAGGGAGAGCACCAGACGAATCCAATCGGTGCGATGTAGCTGGGAGCTTCGCTTTCATTGGTGATTCGACATGCAATCTGTTGCGAGGGGTATGGCCTCTCTTCTTCCCCATCTCTGTCTTTCTCTCTGTCTCTTTCTCTCTTTTTCTAACGCTCCCTGATATCTCACTGTGGGTCTTTCCGCAGGGTCCTGACCATACCGTAGTCGTAGTAGTGCTAGTCGTAGTAGTAGTAGCAGTAGTACCAGTAGTAGTAGAAGTAGTAGTAGTAGTAGTAGTAGTAGTAGTAGTAGTAAGAGTAGTAGTAGTAGTAGTAGTAGTAGTAGTAGTAGTAGTAGTCGTAGTAGTAGTCGCAGTCGTAGTCGTAGTCGTAGGCGTAGTAGTCGTAGTCGTAGTCGTAGTCGTAGTAGTAGTAGTAGTAGTAGTAGCAGCAGTAGTAGTAGTAGTAGTAGTAGTAGTAGTAGTAGTAGTAGAAGTAGTCGTAGTAGCAGTAGTAGTCGTAGTGGTAATAGTGGTAGTAGTAGCAGTAGTAGTAGTAGTAGTAGTAGTAGTAGTAGTAGTAGTAGTAGTAGTAGTAGTGTAGTGGTAGTGGTAGTGGTAGTAGTAGTAACAGTGACAAATAATACGAATCCCACCAGCCCTCTGGGCGTAGGTGGTCTAGAGCAGATCCTCTTCCACCCCTCCCTCTTCCCCCTTGGGGAGGGGTTTACCCCTCCCCCTACCCCCTCCCCTGGACCTGGACGGGGGGGGCCGCGGGTAGTTAGAGCGTCCAAGATGGCCCAAGACGGCTCCAAGAGCGCCTCAGAGAACCCAAGATGAGCTCCAAGATGGCTCAAGATAGCGCAAGATCGCTCACGATGGCTCCTAAGATGGTTCCAAGAAGCCCAAAGACGGCCCCAAGATAACTCCAAGTGGCCAAACAGCTCCCCAAGGAGGCCCCGAAGAGGCCAAAATCGTCCCAAAACCTAAGGAAAATCAATGATTTTTGCTTTCTCGCCTTTTCGCTTCCGATGGCCATCCGAGGCCTGGAGATGGCTCCAAGATGGCCCAAGAGGGCCCCAAGAGAGCCCCAAAAGAGCCCCAAGACGGCCCCAAGAGCGCC